TTGTGCTAGTGCAGAAGCCATGAGCAGGAGAGCTACTATGGCCATGGCCGGGAGCATGACAGCGGGGGGTGCTACGGATTTGGAGGCCATTTTAATTTGGTGCAGTGGCTGATGCTGCGGGCGAATATTGGTTATTCTCGCCGCCACACAAGCTAGCCCTGTTTGGACCCATTGGCTGACAGTATCTGATTTGATCCAGCAAGTGAGATAGTTGTTATCTAGAGTTCCAACTAACTATTAGCTATTTTTTATCTGTACATATTTAGATCCAAAAGAGATAATTATTAGCAGATAGCTACTATCTATTGGGAATCCAACAGGGCCTTATAGGTGCATCACAGGTACGTATTTGTCAACCAATGCACGTGAAAAGCGCATTCAATTCAACAGAAGAAAATAATGCGCTGGTGTGTGGATACTCGTAGGCCGGGCTTAGGGCATGTACAACCTACAGACATAGGTCATCTCTAAGAGACTAGAACTTGACATAGAGACGATTAAAAGACAGGTCATACAACTAACAGACAGGGGGTTATCTACAGGCAGTTTAATGTTTTGCATATAGCCAAGATCAATCAAGAATATATCAATTTGTACACCATTGTGTGGCCGTTCCATGGAAAACGGTTCAAGCATAAATAAGATGAACATAATTACAATATTTTTAAAAACCATCAATATAATAATTATATTATATATGATTGCAACATTTTTGTCTAAGTTTCTTTGTTTTCTCACGTGAAATCAGCACACGCAGAAACGACAGTGAAATCAGCACACTCAAGGTAGAAACGACACTACAGAAACTTATAACTGAACAAAAGGGAACAAAAGGAACACTGTTCTTTCCGGCTGCTAAAGAAAACAGGGCAACACCACAAAGTGCAAAACCACCCTGTGCAGCATAGCTTCCAGTTTTTTAGTTGCTCAAATATAACAGAGTCCCAAAGGTTACGGAAATCATGGATCAATACTAGAGAAATATACTAGTATTGTCAGACTCAATAATTTGACCAGAGAACAATTGAGTGACTGCTTCAGCAGTTGATCTACTGTGTGACAGTTTAGAAAATGAACCGAGAGCTGCAAGCTCGGTAGTAATTGGTTTCTTAAGGTATTGGTCAATAACAAATAGTCAGAAGTGATATTTCTGATTGAGGTTGAATAGAAATTGGAGTGAACCTTTTCATCAGACCCAAAAGGTTTGCTTATGAAGCAGCAGTTCGTCTTCTCCACTGATGCAAAGCAATAGTTATTAGGACCGGACCAGACCGGCGGTCCGACCGATAAAAGATCGAATCAGAGACTATAGCGGTTTGGTTCACTTCACAGACCGTCCATGCGTAAAACCGGTTGAACCGGCCGGTTTTTTATGGAACCGGTGACCCGGCTGGTTTCAATTGAACCGGTAGGTTTTTCATATGAGCTCCAAATTAGACAAAGAATATGTCCATTTTGATTATTTCGATGAGCTATTTGCAATGGTGCACTTCATTTTAGTATTTGACATTGTTTTAGAATGTAAATATTTGAATTAATTCTTTTTTCTAATTCATAAATGCTCCATATATTATCTTTTCGTGGATATTTTTGGCATATCCCGTAAAACAACTCTAGAGCAGCAAAACTTATGAAACATATTAAGACATATCTTGCTATGATGCATCATGAAACATTGTTATTTTATTATATTATTATATTTTGACGATCATATTATTTGAGTTAAGAACCACCAAAAGACACATGATAATTTTGGAGTACCTTATGTGGACTTGTGGCTAGATTAGTTGGAATTTGGTTATATAATTGTGTTCTTTAACAGTTTATTTGTATATGTGGTCAACTATACGTTGCTAATTATCTATTGTATCTTATGATACTGCACCGGTTTGAAGTACTTGTGGCCGGTTCAATTTATCCGGTCTGAAACTATCGAACCGGCGGTTCAACCGGTTCTTTACGGTTGGACCAGTGAACCCGTGAACCGATTGCCTCACCGGTTCGATCTCCGGTCCCCTCCTAAAGCACGACGGACGACATCATACAGCCGAGGGCCTTCCCTAGGAGCGGAGACGGGCCTGATCTGCGGCGTGCTGCCCGGCGTGGACGTAATAAGCTAGGCAGGCGACCTGTAGATGCTGAGCTACACATGGATGCGTTGGGGCCTGACGAGGACCGCAGCGGCGCAGCCCTGCTCCTCTTCGGCCGCCTTGACCAGGCCAGGTAGAGCACCTCCCCGGAGCCGGCCGTGTGGCGCAGGGCTCTACGGCGGCCTACGACGGGAGCGGACACCAGCACGGGGGACATAGGAGGAGGGGAACGATTTGGCTGAGATTTCGCTCCGCCGTGTGCCGGAACTGCGTGCGCGTGCACAGGATCCGCGCTCTTGGGTTGGGGACGCGGACGACCCGTGCAACGCTGCTGGAGGCGGCGTCTTGGCCTCGGGCCACACGACTTCCCCGTCGCCTTGCGAGACGACGCCGACCCCGTCTCCTAGCATCGGCGGGGTGTTTTCTGCAAAATTTACATCGTGGAGACGGGCTCAAGAGACCCGTTGTACATGCCCTTATCTATCTGCCGATCATGACTTTCAAACGACGTGATAAGATGTACGAACCCACCTGTCAAAAAAATACTGTGGCCTAATTATGGAATTGGACATTTTCCCTACCATAAATAAATACCTCAAGACGTGAAGAAAATTGCACACCTGACCAAATTTATTAGTAGCTACTATATCATGCCATTATTTATGGGTACATATATGCGTACGTATAGGCTACCAAAACCAAGAAGCTATATATAGCCTTATTTATTTCCTCTTACTTATCAGAAACATATATATGTATCTTTTTTTAGATAATATATATATGTATCGTTGACAGTCTAATTATTATGTTTTTTCGCACTTCTCCTATATTTCAGGTACCTGAATTTTAAGATGATTTTAGGTAACACTCTTGTACTACCAATTAATACAAGATAATTGTCGTTTTTGTGATTTGTTGTTTGTCTTTTTGTCATAACATATCAAATTTTTGTCATTGTCTGACTATAAAAATAATTGTAAATTATTAAATTGTCTTTGTGCCAACATATATAAATTTTTATCAGGTTTGTGGTTTTGTCTAACAGGTTTTTTTTATTCCTGGAACCAAAAATTGCAGATTGTGTCTACAGAAATTGCAATGAACTAAAACTGCAATATAGTATAAAGTATATGCAATAACCGTCGTCTGAAACAAAACTAAAATTCAGGCACCTGAAATTTAGCAAATCCCTTTTTTTTTGTTTGGCGGCACGGATTGAACTTTATTAACTACTGTAGAGTCAAGATTGTTACGGTCCGAATTAATGAGGTCAAAGACACACAGGCAAACAGCCGTATGGCTTCTGGCTTAATTTGCAGCGATTTGACGATGCATCCTTGTGCCATTAATTGATCTCAATGATAATTGGGTGACGACACCATTGACTTGGTAACTGCGCATTTGCAAACCCAGTTGCTTGCTGGTACTTTAATACAAAAATGAAACCTTTGGAAAGAAAATGTATCTTGCACTGTAGTGGGAGAAATATATTAATAATAAGGCAACATATATGCAAGTAATAAGGAGGATGAAAGATTGGACGTAATTATCAAACTGGAAGGCAAACAAAGGGAATGGCAAATATCAACTACGGAATGCAATATCAACTCGGGAACTATCTAAACACTATATTAAATGACTAAAGATAAAAATCTTGAACAACAATATGTTAATTGACGATGGTAATCTGCTCTAGTTGGCCACCTTACTCCTTACATGCAACATGCCTATAATAAGTAGTGCATAATAGGCATATGAACAATGGTGCCTTAGTTTCCTTCCGCACATAGAGGCCTGTTTGGCTGGTGCCATAGTTTGCCACGTCAAACCTTCAGCAAACTGTGGCTGCCACATAAAGTTTGGCGAGCAAAATTGAAGCCACACTTGTGTCAAAGTTTGGCAAGAAAATAAGTCTATAACGTATGGGACAAGGTGCTAAGAAAGTGCGGCAAGCTGTAGTTGTGGTAGCAAACTCAAATAGCTGCCAGAAAAATAGTGACATGACTAACCTATGGCCAGCGGCGAATCTAGACTAAACTGCTGCCGGGGTCGTACAGATTCATGAACTCAATTTGATGGGGTCGTAGCTGGCCGGAATACGCAGGGTTCGACTGATTCGTACAAAGTTATCGGGGTCGCATGACCCCGACACATATGCACTGGCTTCGCCGCTGCCTATGGCATGACACGTTATGGTCACAAATCAAACACGCCCTAAGCCACTAGGGACTCTGGCTCAACTGCACTGGGCCGTTTGCACAACGAAAGAGGACTCTCCAAGCTGTGAATTGGACGGACTGCTGTGCCTCATGTTGGGCTTGGGCCGATGCATCCGGCTTCAGATTTTGGTTAGCCTTTCCTTTCCAATCAAAGGCAACAACGGATCCTCCCTTGCCAGAGCTCAGTTTGGATCTTAGTTTGAGTTCCTCATTTTTCAAAAACCTGCAAACGTCTTCATCAATGGAGCAAGGAGGAAATGCTTTGGGTAGAGTGTCGTGCCGGCGCTGCCTCTCTTCCTCCCATACAAGAAGTGCATGCAGGTCTCCCATTAAGTGCAAAATTTGTTTGGAGTGGGGCCATATTGCAGATTCATGCTCTCAGCAGTGGAAATGGCTTCAGTCTCTTGCTGGTGGCAGGCAGCTGGATAATTTCTCCAACGCTTGCCCTCTCGAGGTGGATTGCACTGGTTGGTTTAAACAAGCTTCGTCTTTGACAGCAGGCCCGTCCTAGCCGCCAACGTTTGATGGCTTTGGGGATTTTCTAGACAACTCTTTAGCCTCCCACTCTGTTCCAAGGGTTCTTCAGCCTGTCGACCCTCCTGTTAATCTAACGTCAAATCCCTCAGTATAAAACTCCATCTCAGCCTCTCCGATTGTCACCTCTAACTCTCTCAACCACAATCCTGCTACCATGGCCTATCAAAGAGGTGATCCTAGCTGGTTCATCCCCCATGGATTGGATTTTCTTGAAGTTGCTGGCCGACAGCCGATGGCTAGAGTGGTGGCGGTTCAGCCTAGGCGCAAGAATGATGACCTCGCCATTGTTACCATTCATTCAATGCCGGAGGGAGAGGAAGCCTTTCATGCCATACGTAATGTGGTTTCTGATTTTCTAACATATGAGAGAAAGTTAGTGTTCACGGATATTCAACCGACTCACTTGGGCAAAGCACACGTCAGATTCAAGAATGCTTTTGACAGAGATCGGTTGATTCAGTTGGGGGCGATTTCTTTCGGTAATGTCAGTCTTACCTTTGCTGAACACAACAAAGGAAGAAATTGGAGGTCTTTTCAGTTTAATCGTGAATGCTGGATTATGTTATTAGGATACCCACCTGATCTTAGGGAGGATGAATTTGTGGTGAATACTTTGAGTTCCTTTGGCCGTGTGATTTCCTAGGTGGATGACCCGACTCACCTATCCAAGCTGTTAGTCAGAGCCCATGTCAGCGAGCTTGAGGCTGTCCCCCATTTTCTGGTCATTACAGAAGGGCAAGAGATGCAGGGCCAATCTTGGACCGTGCAATGTGAGATTCTCCCGGGGAATTTACTAGGAGGATTACCTGCTGATGAAGACCCAGCCCCAGGTCCAGATGATATTCCCCCAAATGGGGTATTTTAATTTATTGAGAAAGCCTGAAGGCAGAAATTGGTCAGGTGGTAATGCTGGTGATATGCTCATGTTTAATGAAGCCGTTAGCTCTCTTGGGCTGGTTGAAATTCCATTGCATGGAAAAAAGTACACTTGGACAAATAAACAGCACCTTTTGGAGAGATTGGACTGGTTCTTCACTTCCAATGCATGGACCCTTTCTTACCCCCACACAATTGCTAAAGCTTTGGTGATGGAGACTTCTGATCATTGGCCCTGTGTGATAGAGATCAAGACCAATATTCGAAAGGGCAAAGTTTTTAGGTTTGAGAACTACTGGATGGAGCATGAGAGCTTCCTCCCACTGGTTGCTGATTGTTGGAATGGCCACTTTACTGAAGCTGATCCTGCGCTTCTTCTGACTGCTAAGTTCAAAGCTTTAAGAGCCTCTCTCAGAACTTGGCAAGCCAAGCTCTCAAACCGGAAAGTCACCATTTCAAACCTGAATTTAGTCATTTCCTTTGTGGATTGTATAGAAGAATGGAGGGACCTCTCTGTACTGGAATGGAACTTCAGAATCCTGAGTAGTGAAAAGCTCTCTGGCCTTCTTCATCAACAGAAGATTTATTGGAAACAAAGAGGCTCTATCAAATGGGTGAAACTTGGTGATGAAAATACAAAGTTTTTCCATGCTAATGCCTCAATCAAGCACAGGAAAAATCTTATCACTACCTTGGTGGATGATTCAAACAACTCAGTGCATGACCATGATCAAAAGGCAGATCTTATTTGGAATGATTTTAAGGAGAGGATTGGTTCGACAAAATTTGTAAGCATGCTCTTTGATCTTCCCTCATTGCTAGGCCAAGACTCTGACATCTCTTCTCTGGAGCCCCCCCTATCTGCTGAGAAAATAGATGGAGTGATTAAAGCCCTTCCTCTTGACAAGTCCCTAGGTCCCGACGGTTTTAATAATGATTTTATTAGAAAGTGCTAGCCAATCATAAAGTAGGACTTTTACAATCTTGGCCTTGGTTTCTATCAAAACAATATTTGTCTGAGGAGCTTCAATGGATCTTATATCACCTTAATTCCCAAGATTGAGGGCCCCACAAGAGTTTCAGACTTCAGACCAATCTCATTACTGAATTCTTCTATCAAGATCATTACAAAGCTCCTAGCAAATAAACTGCAACCAGTCATCACAAGCCTTGTTCACAAGAATCAGTATGGATTCATTAAAACAAGGACCATCCAAGATTGTCTAGCTTGGACTTTTAAGTACCTCCACCTCTGTCATAAGTCTAAAAGAGAGATGGTCATCCTGAAATTAGATTTTGAGAAAGCATTTGATAAGATTGAGCATAAGGCCATGCTGGAGATAATGAGAGCAAAAGGGTTTGGGCTAAACTGGATTGCTTGGATGGAATCTATTTTTAACTGTGGCACATCTTCTGTGATGCTCAATGGTGTCCCTGGAAAGGTTTTCCATTGCAGAATAGGGGTAAGGCAGGGGGACCCCCTTCCCCTCTCCTCTTTGTTCTTGCTGCTGACCTGCTGCAATCCATTATCAACAGAGCAAAGGACTTGGGCCTTCTCAAATTGACAATTCCTCTCCAGCACTTTAGTGACTTCCCAATTCTTCAATATGCTGATGACACCCTCATCATTCTAGAATGGTGTGGGAATCAGCTCTTCACTCTAAAGGCTCTCCTTCATTCCTTCTCGGCTTCCACAGATCTGAGAGTGAATTTTCAGAAATCTATAATGGTCCCAATTAATATCTCCCAGGAAAAGCTTATTCATCTTGCTAGAACCTTCGGTTGCTTAACTGGGAGCTTGCCATTCACCAACTTGGGGTTGCCTCTGGGCCTTACAAAACCGAGAGTGGAGGACTTCATGCCTATTGTCAACAAATGTGAGAGAAGGCTAGTGTGCACCTCTCTTTTCCTTTCTCAGGCTGGAAGACTGCAGCTGGTAAATTCTATTTTTACTGCCCTCCCAACCTTCTATATGTGTACCTTCTCCCTCCACGTCACCATCAGGGAACAGATTGATAAATACCGTAAACACTATCTGTGGAGAGGCTCTGATGATAGTAACAAGGTGAATGCCAAGGCTGCCTGGGCCCTGGTTACCACTCCAAAGGACGATGGAGGATTGGGAGTTCTGGATCTTAAAACACAAAATGAAGCTCTAGTGATCAAAAATCTGCATAAGTTCTTCAACAAGCTAGACATCCCCTGGGTCAATCTTATGTGGGAAAAGTACTACAACAATGGAAAGTTACCAAGCCATATCAAAAAGGGCTCCTTCTGGTGGAGAGATGTTCTCAAACTCTTGGAAAAATTCAAAGGTATGGCCTCAGTTTCTGTTCAGAGTGGTTCCTCCTGTCTTTTCTGGGATGATCTTTGGTTTGGTCAGATGCCCAAGCAAGCCTTCCCTGAACTTTATTCGTTCACCAAAAAAACAAGTTTAACACTAGCCTCTGCTAAGGCAAATCCGTCTCTTATTGCCACTTTTAACCTCCCCCTCTCTGTTGAAGCCTATGAACAACTCTTGGGGCTGGATGATACCCTGCTAAGCTTTAATCCAACAGTTGACGATGATGTCTAGTCTTATATCTGGGGGAGAGCTGAGTTCTCTTCTAGCAAAGCTTATAGGCAGCTCACTGGTTCACATCAGGTTCATCCCATCTTCAAGTGGCTTTGGAATTCTTGCTGCCAACACAATCACAAAGTGTTTTTCTGGCTTCTGGCACATGACAGACTGAGCACCAGGAACATATTGAGAAGAAAGAATATGCACCTGCAATCATATAATTGTGTTCTCTACAATGGCTCAGTTGAGGAGACAGTGATCCATCTTTTTCTCCACTGTGATTTTGCAAAGGAGTGCTGGAACCTTGTTGGACTGAATGTGCCCCAAATCCAAGACCCATTTCAGATCATGGAGGAGTTCAAATCGCATCTTAGTGTCCCCTTCATCATGGAAATCATTATCATCATGTGCTGGAGTATCTGGACTTTGAGAAATAATCTCATCTTCATAAATGAGGCAGCCACAAGTGAAAGATACAAGTTCTTTTTCGAAAACATCTTCAGCCAAGTTATTCTACGCGCGAAGAAAAAATACCTTCCGAGCATTAATCTATGGCTAGAGCAAAGATTGTAATTGATCTAATTTTTTCCTCTCTTTCTGGGTTTCTTGAACTCTTAGCCTTGCTATTTTGTACTGTTTTGTACACTGTTTTTATTTATTAATAAATTCCAGTAGGGGCGTAAGCCCCTCCTGCTCTCTCAAAAAAAAAAAAACAGGCTGCTGACGGATTTCAGTTCTTAGACAGTGTTGTTTTATTTTGAAGGTAAATAGCAGGAAGCGCACAGAATCATCTATTGAACTATTCAAAAGCAGGACCCGACCTTTTTTTTTTAGACGAAGGAAGAAACATATTAGATTATAGCTGTGTACATCATCACATTACAAGCACTCTGGTCTACACTAAGTATATCCAGAAATTGATCATCTAAATTGTACCCACGCTTTGTATAGCTCCAAATCTAAAATCCAAACCTGTATGACGCTTCGTATGGATGACCACACAGGCAAACACTCGGCAAAAGGTCTGAGAACAGATGCCCAACGAATGACGTCCAACATTCCTGCAGGTGAAGTTAAAAAACTTCATCTTTGTTGTGTCTTCCTTCTTTCTCTTTCTGCCACCGAAAAATATGGAAGACTGATCTGAAACTTATTCTCCCTAGTCCTTCATCATGGTCAGATCTAACCACAACAGAACGAAGAAAAGACCAGAGAAAATTATTCTATGGCGGTGACATCATTTCCGCCTTGATGTCGCCGTTTGGAAAAACAAGTCTCCTTATCGTCATGCCGAGGAAGTTGCTGACGGCGTTGATGCCCTTGTCTTCAACATAGTCACCATGGAAAAAACAAATCCACTCTGCCCCCTCGCTGTCGCCGGGGAGGAGGAGGAGGAGATAAATCCCCAGTACTAAGAAACTTGGCATGGAGAGACCCTAACCCTAATGGATTCGATCTACTAGAAAACTTATTAAAACGATGGATCCCCAGTCTCTCCGGCCTCCGGCGAGATGCCGGAGGGGGAAGGGAGGGGGACCAGCGGTGGTGGAGGCGGGGGCGGTGGCGACGGCGGCGCTAGGGCGAGTCAAGAGGCATCCTGGGAAATGCGAGGGTCGGGAAACCTTCTCGAGGTTGAGGCCCCTCTCCCTCTCTCTCTAATCTCCGTATTGCAGGAAGCAGGACCCGACCTGATGGATGTGTGATGCTATTGTGTACTGACCATGCATGCTCTCCACAAGATATTTCCTCTCTGCTCTGCCGTTACACGTGTCCAGTAATAATACTTCCTTCATTTCAAATTATAAGTCATTATAACTTTCTTGGAGAGTCAAAGCATCTCATGTTTGAACAAATTTATAGAGAGAATTACAAAAATTTATAACATCAAATAGGTTTACTGTGAAAATATAATTAATAAAGAATCTAATTATACTTTTTTGTATCATAAATGTTATTATTTTATTATATAAATTTGGTCAAACTTTAGATATTTTGACTCTCAAAGAAAGTTAGAATGACTTATAATTTGGGATGGAGGGAGTACTAACTAACAACCAGTCCAGTCTATTGAATCGGTCGGAGCTGTTGTTGCATCATCCAGCAGTGAGCAATGTGAGTGTATGACCACATTGCCCGTCGGAGGTCTCTCGTTCTCTGGCAGGATACGACTGCATGAAAGCTGGTTTCCGGTTCATGTCCACAAAGAGTCAAGAGATGGGCTTTGCTGCGGTGCTTCCAATCGAATCCAAACTCCTCTGATCTTGTGGGAAACTTGTGGAACGTATTTTAGCAAAGTTTCCTACTGGGGGATAAGACCACCCTATATATCGGCAAGGCAATGTCATCCAATACAAAGATCTCAGCTGTAGCATCTAATGTAAAAAAACGACAAAAATGACAAAAAGGCAATGGCAACCCTAAAACATCTACAACTGTAGCATCTAATGTAAAAAAACGACAAAAAATGACAAAAAGGTTGATGATCCACTTCCTACCCATATTGATTTTGCTAAGGTATTAGATGATTAGAGGGCATTTTCTAGTAACAACCTTTTTTTCTATGGTTAATATGCTTATGGCTCGTATTGATAACCTGCTAGAAGGTAAAAAGAAAACTGATATTTTTTATGCATTTATTAATGGATCGGCCCGGGTGCTAAACAACCGCGTTCAACTATTATCATACCTAGAGCTTGTTCGTAGTTTCTAATCAAGCCAAATTGGCATTTTTGGCACTTGAAACCGATAAGACCAATTTAAGTGGGGTCAGCATAACCTGCCAATGGTCACATTTAAGCCAAGTTCGGTCCACACTACACGGACCGATGATGGACCAGCAGGATCTTGGCCTTTGGCGCCATAGAAAATGGTGTTACCTAACCCACCGAAGTCCCTAAGTGCTATTCTTATGTTTGGTGGTGCACCCAACCTCTCTACTACCGATATTACTGAGTCTATAAATTGCTTTAGAAATGAATTGGCTAAATCTATTGAAACAAGGTTGGGTGTACAAACTAAATCTAATAGGAGTATAAAGGAACACAAAAATGAACCCTCTCTTGTGCTTTTATTGTCGTCCTTTTTGGTGTTTGATTCTAAAGAGGAAGAATTTTTTGGACCAAAAGAAATCCCAACCCATAATAAAAATAAAAATCAGATTAAATTTTTTTTGTGGTATTTAGTGGGGGAGAATTTGAACAAGGGGAGAATTGGTCTTAGTAAGGGAGAAATGGATTATGGAGTTAGGGGGAGGTTTAAGTACTAGGGGACATATTACACGTGGTAAGAGCAAAGTATGTAGTCTACATGTGGTATCTTGCATATTTCAATTAGCATCATATGCTCCTGCTCTTGCATTGCATCCAGGCAAGTAGATAGGTTCTCAATCTCATATCTATTATTTGCTTGCTTTGGTTGTGTTGTCATCAATCACTAAAAGAGGGGAGATTCTAAGGAAGATGGTACCTAGCATGGGCCATACATGATTTTTGTGGTTGATTAAAAACATGATCAAATGGATAATGTGCTTGCTAGTATACAAGACATTTAGTTCATTTGGATGCAAGGATGGATTGGACTCAGGCAATGTGAAGATCAAGTGATCAACACCTCAATGGAAGACCAAGGAGCACTATTGGAGATCATAGAAGACATGCAAGAAGTCCAAGACATCAATTAGAAGAAGTTCGAAAGAAAAGACATGAAGAAACAAAGCTCAACAGTGGCTCCAGACAGCCACTGGAAATCTCCAATGGTACTTGATTCCAACACCGGAGCTTAGGCTCAGCTGAAGAAGTACATATAGAAACATTCTGCAGGCACCATAATTATCTAGTGATGATCTAATTAGACAGTCAAGAAAGAAAGCATCGAGAGCAACAACTCTCTATAGAAGAATTTTAGGGACACCGGAATTCCCCAGTGATAACGGGAAGGCAGCACCGAAGAAAGCAGTTGCCAAGGGTTTCTGCAAAAGGTTTTGCGTGCACTAGAATTGTCCAATTGTCAGTGTTTTATGACCGGCAACTTTGCTACGGGGTTACCCAGACTGAGGATTGGTGGGCATCGGCGTAAACTAAAACTCGATGGTGAACGCGAGATAGCGATTTAAAGAGGTTCAGGCCGCTGAATAGCGTAATACCCTACGTCATGTATGGTGGTTTGCCTTGCATTGGATTGTGTTGAATGAATTGTTAGAAAAGGATTACCCCTGCCTCTCTTTATATACTCCCGAGGGTAGGGGCACGATTATAGTCCTAGTTGGTTAAGACAAAAGAGTTCTAGACCTATTACAAAGATAGATCTTTCTTTAGCCGACTAGGTTGGTTTACTTGCCCTAGAAGCCACGCCACCATGTCCCACACCTTCTTGGCAGTCCATGGGCCGGCCCATCCACTCGCCGAGTAGTCGGTCCTATGGGGAACCCTTAGCATCTTGGTCCATCAAGACCCCGAGCTCTTCATGGTTGAACTTAGAAGTCCACTTGAATCTCCAGGTCATTGCCGAGTAGAATCAAGAAGCGTCCGAGCGTCTTCAGAGAAGCCATGAAGTGCTCTTCAAACCTTCATAAATCATTGGTGTGGCTCTCATTGTTGGCGACTCTACCATTGGCAGGATCCATGGTTAAACCTGTCAATGGCTCTACATGCATGTCCCTACTACTAGCTCATGTGTGCTGGGGGTGCGGTTGCAGCCTCGCAAACGACACAGGACGTGAGGGGTCGGTTGAAGGTGCCATGCAGGCACTAGGCGGGCATGAGTGGAAGCTTGCAAAGGGCGCCGAATAGGCAATGGCGCATGGGCAGGAACCGTGTCGGATGAGAGGGGCAAAGGCATACACTACTGGAAACCCATCCTTTGCCGAGGGCTTCTGAGTTTGTCGAGGGCTAGATCTCGGGCATTCGGCAAAGTCTCTATTTGCCGAGGGCTAGCCCCAGGAGCCCTCGGCAAAGATAGGCCCTCGGCAAAGAAATGGCCCTCGGCAAAATAAATCTTTGCCCTCAGCAAATTGGCCCTCGGCAAATATGGCCGGATGGGTCACGGCGGCCACTGGTGTCAGTCTTTGCCGAGTGCCCGCCGTCAGGCACTCGGTAAAGATTTTTTATTTTATTTTTTTAGATTTTCTTTGCCGAGGGCCATTGGCCAAGCCCTCGGTAAAGATCCCCTTTGGCGAGGGCCAGGCTAGGCCCTCGGCAAAGATTTTTTTTTTGGTTTTTTAACCCAGTTTTTTTGTGGTGCTATAATACATTATTTAAAACTCAATTTTAAAATTTGGGCAAATTTTGACTTTTTTATATATTTTCCTAATTTATTTCTTTTCGTTGATTTTTTCCAACTGCAGTTCAAATTTGAAATATTCGAAAAAAATCAACTAAAAGAAATAAATTAGGGAAATATATAAAAAAGTCAAAATTGGCCCAAATTTTAAAATTAAGTTTTAAATAATGTATTATAGCACCACAAAAAAAACTGGGTTAAAAAACAAAAAAAAATCTTTGCCGAGGACCTAGCCTGGCCCTCGGCAAAGGGGATCTTTGCCGAGGGCTTGGCCAATGGCTCTCGGCAAAGAAAATTTTAAAAAATAAAATAAAAAATCTTTGTCGAGGGCCCTGGATCTGGGCCCTCGGGAAAGGGTCCAAACCTAAATCGGCCAGTGGCCTGGCCCAAAATCCCCACCCACATTTCATACGCCGCTACTGTGCGCCGCCGCCGCTGCTAGCCCCGCCGCCGCCCCGCGCCCCGGTGCACGACTACGCCGGCAAACGGTTCGCGGCCGACAGCAACGCCTTCGTCCTCCACGGCGGCAGCGAGGGCGTCTACGCCTCCGCTAAGGCCGCCGCGTTCATCCGGTACGTACGTATGAAACCGCGTCAGAGGATCAATTCATGGCTTCCTTGCCTTCTCGAGGACTTGGGGAGGGGATTTCGAGGTGACGCTGACGCGATGTATTTCTTGATCGGCCGACGGCGCGCGCAGATTCGAGAAGGTTGCGTTCAGAAGGACGCCCGAGTCGGCCGCTGCGGCCGAGGAGGACGGCAACCGCACGGCCACGGTCACGGCGGTCATCTTCGAGGCCGGCGACCGCGACGCCGTCGGGGGCGCGTACGTCTCCGTCTCCGGCGGTCGCGCGCTCTGCTGCACGCCGGACATGGCGAGGCTCGGGGCGTGCACCGAGGGGACGGCGACGTACCGCGCGCGGAACGGCACCGGCTGGCCCAGGGTGTTCGCGGCCTCCTTCCTCCTGGGCAGCCTCGAGGCGGAGTTCCCGGACGAGACCGTCGCCATGGCGCGCACCGGCATGTACACCCTCCTGTTCGTCCACTGCGACGCCTCGCTCGCCGGTGGGCAGGTGGCCGAGCGGGGCAAGACCATCTGGAAGAACAGCCGCGGATACCTCCCGGGGCGGATGGCGCCCCTGCTGCCCTTCTACGGCGCCACGTCGCTGGCGTTCGCGGCGCTGGCGGCGTACTGGTTCGCGCAGTGCGCGCGGTTCTGGCGGGAGGTGGTGCCGCTCCAGAGCTGCGCCACGCTGGTGATCGCGCTGGGGATGCTGGAGGCCGCCACCTGGTACTTCGACCTCGCCGAGTTCAACGAGTCCGGCGTCCGCCCCCGCGGTGCCACGTTCTGGGAGGCCACGTCCGGCGCGCTCCGCGGCGCGGCGGCGCGCATGCTGGTGCTGGCCGTGGCAATGGGCCACGACGTGGTGCGGCCCGCGCTGGCGGGGCTCAAGAGCGCCAGGGTGGCTGGCCTCGGCGCCGCGTTCTTCGCCGCCGCGGAGGCGCTCAAGGTCAGCGAGAACGTCGGCACCGTGAGCGACCACTCGCCGTCGCCCACGAGGAGGCTGTTTCTCGTGCTCCCTGTGGCGGCCCTCAACGCGGTGTTCGTGTCCTGGATATTCAGCTCGCTGTCGAAAACGCTGAACAAGCTCAAGGTGAGGAGCAAAGCTTGTTCCGGTCGACCATTTCGGCTTGTTTTCTTGAGAATTCTTCAACATCATAAATGCAGGAACTTGTCAATGCTTGCAGGCAAAACGAATGACGGCGAAGCTGGAGATGTACCGGAGGTTGAACAACGCTTTGATCATCGCGGTGGCCGTGTCACTCGGCTGGATCACATTTGAGGTAAACTCTACCAAACAAACCCCCTTTTTTTGTGTAAACAGGAGCCTGCATTCATTCAACTACTCTTGCTGTCCAGTCTCTCGCCACTCCAGAATTGTTCCTTTCAGCATCTGATCTTAGTGAACACGTTCCAGTTTGAGTTGAGCACTGCATAGCCTTAGCCTGACCCATCCAGTTGAACAATCAACATTGCTAGTTTTTCTTTGGATCTTAGCCCAAATGTTCAGTCCAAGATCGATAGCGAAAGACTCCTCTTCTTGTGACTTTTATCGATCAACCTGTCGCAGCCAATGTGCTGGTAAATGTTTTGGGGTGCATGATGGATAGGGAAAGAACCATCTTTTGTGACTGATCAGATGATGGCCCTGCCCTCCGGGTAACAAGTTGATCCTGTACCTCCAGAATACCCATCTCTTTATACAGTACAAAAAGACCACTGAATGATGTCCAGCTGAAAGAAAGAACACTTCTGCATTACCCTGCACTCCGTCTTTCCTAGACAGTGACAAAACTTGCGGTCACCAAACATCCTGCCTGACCATCTACAAATTGCTATGCGCTTCGCTTGCAGATCCACTTCAAGTCGACGGACGAGTACAACGAGCGGTGGCGCGCGGCGTGGGTGATCCCGGCAGTGTGGCAGCTCATCTCCTTCTCGCTGCTGTGCGCCGTCTGCCTCATGTGGGCGCCCTCGCAGAGCTCGACGAGCTAGGTACGCCTACCTGGAAGACGAGGAGGAGGGCGAGGACGAGGACCGTGACGTGGAGGACACGCGGCCGCTGATCCGGCCCGGCCCGCTGTCGTACGTGGACAACTGGGCCATCTCCGTGTCCAAGGACGCCACCACCATCATTCTGAGAACCGACTCCGGCGTGTACGAGAAAGCCGCCGGCGATGGAGGCAAGCGGGTGTAGTGAAGCACAGCGACGAGAGGTTGACGATACCATACGACTATACGAGAGCAAGTAAGGCGTGGTCGTTGTAATATATTGTGATTTGTGGTTCATAATTATGGTTGTGATATATTGTGAGAAAATGGGTTCTGTGTGATATATATATATATATATATATATGTTAAATTTCTGCCTCATTGCCGAGGGCAATGACCAAGGCCCTCGGCAAAGAAGGGTCCTTTGCCGAGGGCCGTCCCATTGCCCTCGGCAAAGATTCATTGGAAAAATTCTGGAACATTTCTTTGCCGAGGGTCATGGTTGCAGGCCCTCGGCAAAGACTTTTTTTAAAAAAATAAAATTTTTTTGCAGAGGGCCGTCCCATTGCCCTCGGCAAAGATTTTTTGGAAAATTCTACAACATTTCTTTACCGAGGGCCATGGTTAGAGGCCCTCAGTAAAGATTTTTAAAAAAAAAAGAATAATTCTTTGTCAAGCACCCCCGGAGACGGCCCTCGGCAAAGACTCCGTCCCAGGCGCCAGCGCCGTGACGGCTGCTTTTCTTTGCCGAGTGCCAGTCCAGCCCTCGGCAAAGGCTTTGCCGAGTGCCCGATAAAGGGCCCTCAGCAAAAACCCTCTTCGCCGACTCAAAATTCCCCGAGAGCTCTTTGCCGAGGGTCGCTCTTGGCAAAGCCTTTGCCGAGGGTTAATGGGCCTTTGCCGAGGGCCTCAGGCCGGCCGTCTCCAGTAGTGATAGGGGCATCCTATGTCATTTTGGAATTCTTCTCTTTACTCCAAGTCTGAAATGAATATTTTAATAGGTACGGTGTCTTCAAGCAAATTTGTCACAAACCATAGTGTCCACTAGCCAATTAGTCTTTTTTGGTTATCCACCGGTAGCACAACATCATTTTTAGTGTCCCATAGCACATTTTCCATATATAAATCCATGCAACGTTTTGATGCTATTCTATAATAATAATAATGCTTGTATTAGAAACGCATGAGGCCAGGTGATCTTGAGAAGAAGAAATAGTATAAAAGTAGAAATTTATCTTCTATACCTAATATTAAAACACGAAATTTCTTTCGTCCTTCATCCGTGATCCATCAGTGGTCTTCGATTGCGGTTTCCGACTGTGGCTTTCGGTTGGTTTTTTCTTTTCTGATTTTTTTCCGTCTGTTTTTTGTTTTCTGATTTTCCCACCGCCATTTTTTTGTTTTTCATCTGTCAGCGTCCAGGTACTAGCGGTCGCGAGTGGAAGCTTTCAAAGAGCACTGAATAGGTGAGGGTGGTTGAAGGGGCGCGTGGGCACCTGATGAAAACGGTCGTCGAAAAACTCCTCAATAGTTTTCTATTTTTATATTTGAAATACGAAAGCGAAAGCGAAAGCGGATAAGCCGGACACGAAAATGAACACGAACCTACGGAATATCTAGAATTTCGGAAACGAACCAATTCGAGCAGAATTATGTCAAACACGGTCGGTATACGAAAATTCAATACGAAATACCGACCCACAGTGCATAGCATTAAACAAGTGCACGACTAAATACATAGCAAGTTCACAACTAACAAGTGCATGATCTAGTTCAAGTGCATAGCATTAAACAAGTGTACGACCAAATACATAATAAGAGAGAAGGCTGGGCGTCGTCTATAAGAGAGGGCAGCTAGCCACCAGTAGAAAGAACGCATCTGCGTGGTGAGCAGCCTGTAATTGGGCTGTATGACCTGTGCAGTTGGCCAAATTCGGTTTAAACCGAATTTTGAATTCAGAATATTTTAAATTAAAAGTAGAAAAGTAGAAAACGGTCGAAAAATGTGTAAACCGTTTTCTACTTTTACATTTGAAATACGAAACATCTCAAATGCGAAAAGCGAAAACGGTAAAGTCAGACAAGAAAATACGGATTCGATCGGATTAAATATAGAAAACGATGCGGTTCGGTTCGGAATATTTTCGTTCCGTTTTCATCCTTAGCAGGGACCATGTTAGGTGAGGTGGCCAAAGGCATAGGGGCATCCGTTATCATTTTGGAGTTCTCTCTCACCCCAAGCCTGAAATGAATATTTTAATAGGTATAATGTCTTCTAACAAATTTGTCACAGATAATCACTAGTAGAAAACAGACCTTTCATTCGAGGCCAAAATGGGCTCTAGTCCCGGTATTTTTTGTGCCCGGGACTAGAGAGACCTTTAGTCCCGGTTGGCGGGGTAAATGACCCTTTAGTCCCGGTTGGTAACATCAACCGGGACTAAAGGTCCCCCGATGGGTTAGTTCAAAAGGAGAGCATCCCATCCATTGTTAGATGTGTTGTGTAGGTGGGGTGGTAAGCTACGCACGAGGCAATCCATGAGGTCTTGGGTTTGAATCTCACGGGACGCAGTGGTGGGAGGCATTATTTTTTTAAAGCTGGGAGGACCTTTAGTCACGGTTGGTGTTACCCACCGGGACTCCTTTAGTCCCGGATGCTTGCTCCCTGGTGGGGAACCGGGACTAGAGGGGGTTCCCCACCGGGAGTAAAGCCCGTCTCCGTATTAGTGAATAGTGTTCACCAGCCAATTAGACTTTTTTGGTATCCACTAACAACACAATATCATTTTTAGTGTCAAATAACACATTTTCCCTAGATAAATCCATGCAAAGTTTCGATGCTATTTTATACTATTTGTACTTGTATTAGCAACTGATCCAATGATTGCAATAAACATAAGAGATTCCTGAAAGTGTGACATCATAACCCATGAGGTACATAATATAATAATTATCAAATGACTTTACAAACCGTTGTCTCTTGCCCTTTCGACGATCTACATTGTCTTCTTCCTAAAGATTTTCCTCATGTGGTAGTACAATATGTGGTGTGGAAATAATATGTTCAGGAGATAAGATGGGGTCTGGACTATATGAGCTAGTCACTTGTTTCATAGGGAAATTCTTGTCCACAAAGAATGTAGCATCTCTAAGCTAGATGATTGTACCAACATGCATGTTAGCTATTACAGATTTCACTATTAAGAATATTAATTTATCCCATGTTCTGTATAGCATAATATGAAATGTCACAATCTATGTTTTTGTCCAAACTTACGCTTCTTGTGAAATAGCATGTTGACGTTGGCCATACAACCCCAAATTCATAAGTATGATGGCTTTTAGCATTTTCTTTTCCAGCTCATTTGTCTTATATATTTATTCTTAGTAGGAACCCTATTTAGCACGTCACAAATAGTCAATATAGCTTCACCTCATCAGTGGAAATTGGAAACTCACACTTTTTCTAACATGCCTCTGTACAAATGTAATTACTGTATGTCTTATTATTTCAGCATCCCCATTTGATTGAGGTAAGTAGGAAGACGTACTCTCATTAATTAATTATACCATGTTCCGTATGGAACACCATTATCTGTCCTTATCCCCATGGTTTTTCTCCCAAGCTGATTTCCACTTCCGTCTTATAGAGATATATATAATAGTAGTGCAATGGCTCATCTTCCACTTCAAGAGATACATGTAGCAAAATCATGTAGAACCATCTATCAATGCAATGAAGTATCTGTTTCCACCTGTTGTCAACATGCCGTTCATTTTATTTGCACAAGTAAGAATGAATTAATCTCATTAGTGCCAAGTTCCTCTCGTGAGTAGCCTGGCGAGTGGCTTACCAGGTTGATTAGATTTCACTCACACTTCGCAAGTAGAACTGTGACTATGGTGAGCTTAAAGATTAAACTCATACTAGCTAAGCAGGTCATGAAACAAAGATTAATATGTATAATAACAAAATTGTGAATGCATCTATGTATAGAATGTCCACATAATACGCACATGATTGCGAACTGAGCCTAGCTCAGTTGGTTAGGTTCCTTATGGTGGAATCTGTCCACTCGGGTTCAAGTCCTCGACTTGGCACGAATGCTCGTATTTTCCTGGATTTATTCCAGGATTTAACGGCGTTGTGCTTTCAGTGGTAGGTGACGTTACCCTCGACAGGGAGGCGCCTGTGGTGACTTCGTCAATCTCGAGATATGCCGGCACAGTCTTTCGGAGGTGCTCATAGGGATATGGTTTGTGTACGTGTGTTCATATGGGTGAGTGTGCGTGCGTGTTGAGTGTCTGCGTATGTACTTGTGTAATTCGCACACACAAAAATACGCACATGATTAATTATGTTATTATTACACGGTTCTGACAGAGATAGATCATAGATGGAACAAGCTTTCGGACTCGTAACCTTTATAAGTCGCATATTTGGATACATGACCGCATAAAAGATCTGATGATAAGATTCTTGATCAGTACAGTGTCACACTATATTATTATATATATAGGCAGACCAATTATACGGTGTACATGACTAATGCCAGCATGGATGCACAAGGACAGCTTATTCATACGTAGGCGACGTGCTGGCAATAAATCACGTACGTACATATCTTACTACACTAGCCGAGTTAAATGCAAAGAGTCCGCTAAGCCGGTAATGGTGCTGTTGAGGTCCTGCACCATTTCTAGCAAGTCACGAACGATGCCCTCCACGGCGTCGGAAATTTCACCGTCTAGGCCATTGTTGCAGGGACTAGCTGGACTTACGCCATGGGGTTGTGCTAGTGCAGAGGCAACAAGAAGGAGAGCTACGGCGATGGCCGGGAGCAGGGCAGCAGTAGGTGCCATGGATTTGGAGGCCATTTGCATGCGCTGGTGCTGCTAACCTAGTTCTGTTCGTGCCGGGTGCCAATCGTATTAAGAGCATGGAAATTTGTAGGTTCGTCGCAGCTACTTGTCATCCCATGCATGTGAAAAACCCAACTGACGAAAATGAGCTTGTGGATACTCGGGGTCATGTTTACCGATCGTGACTTGGCAACAAAACTAAAAAAAAGGATAAGATATACGAATGTAATTGCCAAAAAATACTGCCGGCTAATAAACGTGATGGGGTTGGACGTTTTTCAATTTCCTTGCACGAATACTACAAGTACAAGTGAAGAAAATTGCATGCCTAATTTATTAGCT